GGTTGTATGGATGGATATTTGGATGGATGGACAGATGGTTGGATGGACGGTTGGTTGGATGGATGGATGGATGGACAGATGATTGTATGGATGGATATTTGGATGGTTGGTTGGATGGACGAACGAACGGTTGGTTGTATGGATGGATGGACAGATGGATGCATCTCAACCTGAACGTGCTCAGCTGATTGATTGAAGGACAATTATCTTCTGTAGAAATTTGCAACAGTCCAAAGTTACGTTTTCTTTGATTTTTGCGGACCTGAACTTGAAGTTCTCTTGAAACGTATTCATGGAGTTCCTCCTTTTCTTTGTCAGATTTCGGGACTTTAGTGAGCTGGAGCCGGACAAGTTCCAGAACAAAACCAACGGCATCACCCCCCGCCGCTGGCTGCTGCTCTGCAACCCCGGCCTGGCAGAGCTCATAGCCGAGGTTCGTCAAACAGCCGATGTCCAGCACGCGTCTGAAGCGCCCCCTGTGGGTTCGTCTGGGTGGTAATATGACCTTTGACCTTTGTTCAGGTGATCGGGGAGGATTATGTGAAGGACCTGAGCCAGCTGAGGAAGCTGAACAACTTTGTTGATGATGCTGCCTTCATCCGGGACGTCTCTAAAGTCAAACAGGTTGGGGGTGGCCATCTTGATTTACGCTGACTTCACTTATAATATTCAGTCTCATTTTCTGTCTTTAACTGAAAACAACACAGAAAATACAAATTAAACCTTAAAACTGATCGTCTTAGGTCTAAAACGTTTAAAACTCAGTTAGGTGGAGCGTCTGCTCCATCTCTGCGTGTCGTATCAGGACGAGACGTCCCGGGCGTCGCTGCAGGAAGTATCCAGCTGTAAACTGAGCACAGGTCCAGACAGGACTCGGCCTTACTCAGCAGTTTCACCTCAACGCCTCCTTTTGTTGCCGAGTCACATTTTTCCCATTCCTCCGCAGGACAACAAGGTGAAATTCGCCCAGTACCTGGAGACGGAGTACAGGGTGAAAATCAACCCATCCTCCATGTTCGACGTCCACGTCAAGAGAATCCACGAGTACAAGCGACAGCTGCTCAACTGCCTCAACATCATTTCCATGTACAACCGTAGGTGGAGCTCCTGTGTTCGGTCCCTCGGTGTGAAAATAGTTTCACAAGTGATGAATGACTCGATCTGACTCGTCCTGGTGTGAGGCGGTCCACGCCCGGCTCCGCTGCATGTCAAAACAGACATGAGTGTCTGAAGCAGCTGTGGGGATGAAAGGTGGGATCTCACTGGGTTGCAGAGGCGTCACAACAATTACTGGTATATGTGAAGGGGACGTGTCCCCCTCACATTTAAAGATGTTCGTTTGGACCCCCCCACATTTACCATGAAATATTAGTTCACCCAGCACTGTTTCTATTTCTTTGTGAACAAATTCATTCCACTTGTTTAATAGGGGAATACTCAAATCACTACAAGTCCACTCCAGGTTTTCCTGGTCACCTACAACAACTCCACACCACATGCAGAGTTTCTCTGAGGTCACTTGGCAGGTCGCGTATCTCTTCGGGGGTGTTTGTCGACTGGACAGGGGAGGAGGGGGGGCACCTCTGTGTTGCATGCTAGCTTAGCGCTACATTGGTAATTCTTAAATTCCGAAGAACTGAAACGGTGACTCCTCCCTTGAAAACACTCTTTAACACAGTCCTTCTCAAATAGTGGGGCGCGCCTCCCTGGGTGGGCCCGGGGGAACATTTTGCAGCAGGGAGTAGTTTTTTTTTTCCTTCACCATTTTCATTTTGTCGGGGTGCGTTCGGCAACTGTTTGCTAAAATCCGTCAACTCTCAGGCTGACTAATAATAGTTATGAACAAACATGGCTGTCTTGTCGTTTGGGGAGCCATGCTTGAACTGTGTCGCTCCCCTCTGCTGCTGAGAAACTCCGCTTTAACGGGTTGTGCTCACTCCTGTGGCAGTTGTCAACTGGGTGTGTGTGTGTGTGGGGGGTGTGACAGAAGTGGAGCATGCTCTATTCACACAAGGAGAGCTGTTGGTCAGGCTACTTCTTGTTGCTCTCTAAAATAGTTATTGAACCAATGTTATATAAGTAAACATAGATGTTCAACAACTAATGCAGAAAATGGCATCTACTTTATTCAAACTTTTCTGGGGGATGACCCCCTGTCCCCACACAAGTGCGCTCCCTCCACATCGTACCCACCTCGGCTCGTTTTCGTACCCACAGAGTCCTCCACATTTCTGATGGTCAGTTTGGTTTAGAGCTGGATGTTTTCTGCAGGTGTCAGAAGAACACCTGCTGTAATCGCAGCCCAGTGAGATGCTACCTGGAACAAGGTTTCTGTATAACAACAAAAAATATAATTTAAGTAAACCACACAAATATTTCAGACATTAGAAAAGCTTAAATTAAAAAAGGAATTAAAAATCAATAACCGTTAAAAATACAAAGATGTAGAGTCTGGTTTTCTTCATCGGTAATATTTTATTTATTTATTTATTTTTTTTTTTTAAATTGGACTCTAAAATAAAATGTCATCACAAATTTTACAAATAATTCATCATCGTTAAACAAAAACCAACAAAAGCCACCAAAACATCTGTAAGACAAGCTAAACAACTAAACTGTTTTAGCAGAACATGCAATGCTGAGTGCTAGAAGATTTAGCTGATATCAGCTAAATAAGCTAAAACTAAGTTAATTGAAACAAGCAGAACTGTAGCTCCGTGTACCAATCTAATGGTAAATATATAATAAGGAAAACGGTAGCTAAAACTGACAACAGAGCTTAAATGACATGCTAAAATTAGCAAATCTGTAGCTAAAATTAACATTCTATATGCTAAAATGAGCAAAACGGTAGCTTAAAACGGCTAAACAGATGCTAAAGAGAAACACTAGTAGCTAAAAGGAGCTACATGATAGCTAAAACTAGCAGACTAACTGCTCATAGGTGCCTCATCTCAGTGGATAGGAGGTCATTCTACAAGCTGAGAGTTAGGTGTTCAATCCCCAGCCCCCGCTGTGCTTTAGTGAGACACTTGACCTTTGACTCTTTGGAGCAGACTTGGGAAAGTTTTATAAAATATTTAAAAAAGGCACATGGTGACCACAGTATGACCCAGGGAGTATTTGAAATCCCCAGAACTGAAAAGTTTGACCTTTTTTAAAAAATAAACTGCAAACATTAAAGTCTTTTATTTTATTGTGAAGGGATCCGGAAGAACCCCGCTGCACCTTTCGTACCGCGGACTGTGATCATCGGTGGGAAGGTAAACCGGGTGTAGAGAGTGAAACGGGTCAGATCTGCAGAGGCCTTTGGGTGTTGAACTGTTCACCTTACACTGCCCCCCCCCCCCCCCCCCCGCAGGCTGCTCCGGGGTATCACATGGCGAAACTCATCATCAAACTCATCACGTCGGTGGCTGATGTGGTGAACAACGACCCTGTGGTGGGAAACAAGCTCAAAGTCATTTTCCTGGAAAACTACAGGGTTTCTCTGGCAGAGAAAGGTAAGAGTTCCCTTATTCCTATTCAGACGGTTCATTCTGTTTCCCAGGGGCGCCCCTCAGGGGAGAGGGGGTTAAAGGCCAATATAAATTTACTGTGTGGTCGAATGAGGGGGAAGTTTCAGGATGTTCTGCACAGAATCTCTGTTTTTTTTTGTTTTGTTTTTTTACCCCGTCGCTGAGCAAAGAGGGGGAATTGGAATTGCCTTCTATCCATCCGTGCATGTTGTGCATGATGACTTGAAAAATAAGCAAAGTGCCAACTTACATTTTGACATAAAAAAAAAAAAAAAGAAACTGTCCAGATGACCTGACTGAAAAATGTTGGATTTTGACGTATGGCTTCATCTAGGTGTAAGAAAGGTCACTATCAAAAGTGGGTCACCACATCAATATCCAAGATGGCCCCTGCTGTAGATATGTAAACTGACCACCTCAGTCATTTGAGGAAACGCTGCTTTCTAATTTTTATATTGTTTAAAAGTAGTTTCCTCAAATGACTGGGTGGCCGAAGATTAATCTGTGGTGGTCAAGGCCACCATTGGCCACCCCCTGGCTCCTCCGCTGCACCGGTTGGTGATAAAATGTCTCCCTCTTGTCCAGGATCTGTTGCTCTGCTCCGCCTCTGTTCTTCTCCACTGTGTAACTCCTCTTCTCTATCTCGCACCAAAAACATGTAGGTTCACTTCATTACTTGTTTAATTCCAGTCCAGAAAAACACTCGTCTCCAAAACTACAAACATTCACTCTTCAAATCTGAGACGAAAATGTTCTGACGTTTGTGATTTGTTGTGTGAAGTAAATGAAATTCACAAAAAGTGCAACAAAAATGTCTCCGTGTACAAAAACGGTGTTTGGTTCAACCGAGTGAAGCCGGTCCTGTTTGGGTCTCCAGCTCAGACGCAGCAGAACCATCAGTTGGAGTTTGAACGGGTCGCAGGGAGTTGGACATTAAAGTGTCTGAACTGTCGTTTTGATTTATTTTAAACTTTTTTTTTTCACGGACTTGAACTGGCAGTCGCCGTCTCGCTCTAACTGAGCTTACTTTCTGCTCTGCAGTTCTGTCTGCCTGTGTCAACAGGGAGTGAGACACTCAGGTGTGCAGTTATGATCACTCTGAGCCACCGGCAGGAGCTTTATCATTTCTCTTGGTTCTCTTTGAACTTCTTCAGTCCCAGATTCCTGCTGGGCCTCAGAGGAGACGCTCCTCGAACCTTCAGAAATGTTCTTGTAGTAAAGTACAACCTTCGTTGCAGGACGTAAAAACTGTCTGTGTCAGTAATCGGAGCATTTCCTTCCTCAGTGATACCCGCCACCGATCTGTCGGAGCAGATCTCCACGGCCGGCACCGAGGCTTCAGGGACGGGCAACATGAAGTTCATGCTGAACGGAGCTCTGACCATCGGCACCATGGACGGAGCCAACGTGGAGATGGCTGAAGAGGCCGGGGAGGAGAACCTCTTCATCTTCGGCATGAGGGTGGATGATGTCAACGAGATGGACAAAAAGGGGTAAAGGCGTCTCGCACAAATGCTTTTACTATAACTCTGTTTATTTAATTTGTACCAGCTCACAGCTAACGTTCACCAGCAGGCACCGAACAACAAACGTAACAAGCTAGTCCGATTACCGTACTTGCCGCCGTACACGTCGCATCAGTCCAAATGTGTCTAATAAAGTAGAAAAAACATAAATATGTTGCTTCGCCATGTATGTCGCATCTATTATGTGTCACCACTGACAACCTGGAAACGTGGGCCGGTGTTGTGCCAAAAATCGATTGGCTACCAAATGGCGGCCGTGGGAGCGTGCACAGGAGGACTTTAATAACAAGATTAACACCTAAAAACAATTATTTGTTTGCTCGAAATTATATTAAAGGTGTGTTTCAGTCTAACTTTTACTTAATAAAAGGACTTTAATGGTTAAATCAACTGCATTTCACCTGGGCGGCGCGGCGAAATGCAGCTGATTTGACGTTTGCTCCAGGAGTTCTAGAGCGAGACAAAGGTGTCTTGGTATGGCAAGCCAAGTGTCTCATTAATAGCTACCTTTACCTATTAATGTGACACTAGGCTTACCATGAGTCGAGGGCCCTCTAGTGGCTGAAAATGGTAGTGTTCAATATTTTCCATGTGAGAATGAATGAAATAGTCAGATCTCAGCCAAAAATTGGGTTATAAATATGGCAAAAAACATAAATATGTCACAGGCGTGCTAATTTATGTAAAAACCTGTGACTTGTTTAGCAAAAATTACGGTACTAAAGTCCAGAATATATGCATGAAGAAGATACCTGCAAGAATGAGAATGTATTCATACTTTATTTATTCTTATCTGACATTTCATGCATTTCAACTTAAAAAAAAAATTCATACACCTTTTGTATGGCGGACGTATGATGGTCCCATCTGTAACATTTCTCTTGTCCCATCTATAACTTCAGATCCACTCGAGATGATTTCCAAACCTTCATACACATTTCATCATCCTAGCTCCAATAAGGTCTTTGCTTGTCAGGGCCATATCTTTAGGTATCACTGTATGCCGACGACTGTGTAATGTGCCGTAATCTTGTTAAATGTTGATTTATGTCAGGTATGATGCCATGACGTACTACAAGAAGATTCCCGAGCTGAAAGAAGTGATGGATCAGATTAAGAGTGGATTCTTCAGTCCCAAAAACCCGGAGCTCTTCAAAGACCTCACCGACATGCTCTTCAAACACGACCGGTGAGGATTTACAGGACCGTCTTTCCTCTGCGCTGAGTTCCCAGAGGTTTGGATTCACATGATTTGTTTTTAGGTTCAAGGTGTTTGCAGACTTTGAAGACTACCTGAAGTGCCAGGAAAACGTCAGCAAGCTCTATCAGGTAACGTTCAGCTCATGAGCCTGACAGGCAGGGGGCGCTGTGCAGTCGTTTTAATAATTATGATAAAACGTCTGTTTTTGTGTGACAGAATCAAGTGGATTGGACCAAGATGGTGATCAGGAACATTGCTGCCACGGGGAAGTTCTCCAGTGACAGAACCATCACCGAATACGCCACCGAGGTGTGGGGCGTGGAGCCCACCGACCTGAAGATCCCCCCGCCAAACGAGCCCAGAGAGGCTCTGGAGGAGACCGTCAAGGCTCTGAAGAAAATCTAACAAACTGTCAACTGTACGTTTACGTCTCATGTTTTCCCTCTAACACGTTACAGAGCATGTCTAAAACCACACGCCTTTATTTTTATTCAGATCACGTTACCGTACGCGCCTTCAGTTCATCGACGCAGGCTTGGGGGTGTTCCCCCATCGGAGGTTCTCAGGGTTCAGGATGAGGAGCGGGTTCAGTAGGACCCGAGTCAAATAGCAGTTTTCTAAAATTTACAGTTTTTTATTACATTCCTGAGACTTTGGTCATTGTGAGACAAACTTGATGCAGTTGTGCGTTCTAGTTTTCACTAATAGAATAAAATAAAGACACTATAAAATGATTTGAAGAGTTTTTTTATTCCTTATACTATATACACACATGTACTTTGAGTAATCCAGTCCTGGAAAATTTGCCTTGAAGGAAAATCCACTTTACGGTTTCAGTTTTTCTAGAAACGTCCTGCAAATAGAAGAAGACGTGTCAGAGGGTAAAGGTCAACGTTTTCAGAATGAGCTTGTAAGGAATGCATATCGCCCGCCGCCTTTCATCCATCCAGTCAATCAGTATATTACATCCAATGTTTGTAAGACTTTGAACAGAATGTGTCCAGTGGTTCAGATATTTTGCTAACAGACAGCGTTGACTGTAACAGGTTATGCCAGTTAAGTTTTAAACAAAGATTTTGTTTAGTTGAGGTTCAGCTTATTGTGCGAGACTCTCGGCTACTTCCACGCCACATTTTAGCTCTTTATCTGTAAAATGAACAGCTGGTGTCGTCCATCATGGAGTGAGGGGGGACTAATAGAAATACTGTTTTTTAAGCATAACTTGAAAAACAAGTCGAGCACCGACTTCCATTTTGGTGTGGCTGCATCTAAGTGTTTGAAAATTGGGTTACCACGTCAAAATTCAAGATGGCCACCATCGCCATGTGTGATGTACAGTATATACTGTATATAATGTGAATAGGCCACCTCTATTATTTGAGGAAACTACGCTTTGTACTTTTTATATTGCTTAAAAGTATAGTTTGGGGTGGCCAAAGATTAATCTGGGGGGGACAAGTCCACCCTTGGCCACCCCTTTGCTCCTCCACTGCACCTGTGGTGGATAAGATCTGTCCCTCTGCGCCGCCTCGGACACATAAAAAATAAACCCTCCCTCTGTTCTTCTCCACAGAGGAACTTCTAGCCACTTGAACGTCTTGCACTAAAAACATTTAGGTTTAATTGCACTCCCTGTTCGATTCCAGTCCAGAAAAACACTCGTCTCCAAAACCACAAACTTTCTTTCTTCAAATGAAGCGATGGAGGATACTGGTGCACCACTTTTTAAACTGGTTGATCAGGGGGGTGTCAATGGGCATCCAGTGATAAAGTTTAAGATTTCTCATGAGAAATTTTGCTAACAGACGTGCAAAAAAGACCTTACTGCGTCTGCGGCGTGCGATCAAACATTCGTTTCACTTACTGAACCACGGTGGAGAGATGGGGGTCCAGATAGATGTTGCTGTGGGAGAATCCTCGACCCGTGCCATAGGAGATCATGTCAACCGGAACATCTGAGCTGGATTCTCTCCTGGCTTCCAGTGACACCTGGAACAGCTGGATCCAGTAAACAGACGGGTTAGAACAGCAGGAAGTCGTCTCAGGCCGGTGAACCAAGTCTGTACCTTCTGACCCATGTGGTACGGAACGACTCGGTCGTCCTCCGAGTGCAGAATCAGGAGTGGGCAGCTGAGGCTCTTCAGACTGTAGACGAAACCAAGTGTTCAGCAACGACGTGAAGATTTTATTACAGAAGACAAACTCAAAATAATCCAGAGCTACTTCTGGATTAGACTTACTTCTCCTTGTTGTCAAAGATTATGTTGTTTTTGTCCAGCAGCATCCAGAGCAAGCTCTCAAACCCTGGAAGGAACCTGTACATCTGGAAATAATTCAAACAGCAGCAGAACATGGAGGTGTTTTGATGAAGACAAGAACACATCGTGTAAAAATGAAAGGTCATGATCTGCTCATTCCAGTAGTGCACATTTTATTCACATGGAACATGTGAACACGCCAGATGTTTAAAATAAATCACATGACCAGGGACAAAATGAGGTAGATTTAAGTTTGATGGCAGCAAAACATCTAAAAAATGTATTTCCATCTCCATGTTTCCTCTGAGAAGCATCAACACCTCTTAACAACAATCTCTGAACATCCAGGACCTGAGGAGACCAGGTGTTGGAGGTTTTAGAGGACCTGAGGAGACCAGGTGTTGGAGGTTTTAGAGGACCTGAAGAGACCAGGTGCTGGAGGTTTTAGAGGACCTGAAGAGACTAGTTGCTTGAGGTTTTAGAGGACCTGAAGAGACCAGGTGCTGGAGGTTTTAGAGGACCTGAAGAGACCAGGTGTTGGAGGTTTTAGAGGACCTGAAGAGACCAGGTG